ATAACTTTGGATGTTTTTAATGTTTGTTTGTGGCTTCAATTTTTTTGTTTCTACTAAACCGAACATAAGTTGTATATGATATGTATAAAATTATGTTATATATACATGTCTGACATACCCGTACAATACAATTTGAACTTTAAAAACATATAAACTGCAAAAAACACTTTCATTTGATCATACACAGAAATGTAATATAAATATAACATTTAACTGGGACACTGAATATGATTTGTGTATGATTTGTATATATTAAGGAACACATATTGGAATTTTCAAATATTCTCCGGCGACTATTTATATAACTATGTATATCATATATACATAAATGTATATGATCTGTATATAATATGGAATCTTGAATATGTGCATATAATACGGATCACATTCCATCAGTTCGAGGTTCACATTCCAACAGTTCGAGGTTCTTCAGAAAAAAAAAAAATAAATATATATATATATAGGTACTTGAGAAAAAAATTAATTTATCTCTTTATTGGATTCCGACATGTTTTAACATTGTGCCCTTTCTCATTACATTTACTGCATCTATTTTTTGACCTATGCTCCCATCTGGACTTTAGTCGTTGCTTCCTCGGTCGACCTGGCTTGGCACTGCCATCGGGTGGATTTACCAATCGCGGTGTAGCGGTTGTGTTGAACATAAATGTCTGGTTACCTGCTATAGGCATCACTGTTTCAACATATGTACTTAACATAGTCGATGTTAAGTAGTGCACAGAACAAAATTGAACAGGATCCAGATGCAAGGATTTTATCACACGAATAGCATGGGCACATGGGAGTTCATCCATCTGAAATCGATGACATGAGCATGTCTTTGAGTCAATATCCACTATAAATGCTTTACCATCGGCCAACACCTTGTACACAGCGTCACTTGCTTTCTGTACCTGTATATATATATATATATATATATTAAATTTCATTCAGATACAAATATTTTTATACGGCCTATGCATAACGAGAGTACATATCCTGTATATATATTGTATATAATCAATTAAGAAATTATATGCACTTACATAGAATCTGCTGGCTATCTTGTAGTTGTTCTCCATCATACTGTGAGGTTTCTTGGCAAGTGCAGTGAAAGTGGACTTCGCTTCATCTCTATTCGCCACACTCCACCTTTGTTGCATGTCTCTAAGGGCCTCTAACAATGTTGTGATCGGGAGTCCCCGCACTGACCTTATTGCAGAATTAATTGTTTCAGCAGCGTTTGATGTCATTGTAAAATACCTATTACTCGGACAATGAGCTCTTGCCCACTTGTGTACGCCAAGTTCTTCTAAAAATGGTATCACACTAGGATTTAACTTTCTTATCTCTGACATATATATCAATCAAACTCCTCCACTGTATAAGCTCTTGCCACTGCATGAAAAGCTTCCTTTACTAACTGAGGTTCAGTCTTGAAATGCGTCTTCAAATTGTTTGATATGTGATATGTACAGAGACAGTGCGCCGCATTAGGAAAGACCTGCATAATTAATATACAACAACAACCAGTAAGCATAGAACATGTGTGTAGACACACAACATATACAGATAAATGTAGGCACAAAAACGTAAACATATTATACAGATTTACTGTAAGTACATAACATATACAGATGATATACAAAACATAAACAGAATATATACAATCAAACAGTACAAGATAGATTATGTACACTTACTGTAGACACAGCGTGTTTTATGCTGACGTGACCGTCCGAAACAATGCACATTCCTTCCCTCTCACCAACAACTGATTTCAATTTATTAAAAAACCAAGTATAGGAATTATTGTTTTCAGAGTCAACAACACAAAACGCAAGCGGTAGGATATGAAAACTTGCATCTTGGCAACATGCTGTAAGCAAAACGCCTCCATACGCTGACGTTAGAAATGTCCCATCGACAACAATAATAGGTCGACAATGGCCCCACCCTTTCTCTGATGCATTCAGGGACATGAACACGTACATAAAAATTTTTTCGGACGTCGTGCACAACCCCACAGTGCTTCCTGGGTTCGAAACACGTATCCTCTCGAGGTACTGTCGTACGTATTCATATGACTCATTTGGCTTTCCACGTACCTCATCCACAGCCTTTCGTTTCGAACGCCACGCTTTGTGATATGACAAGTTTATCCCAAAACGATTCTGCATATCATCCACGATGTCCCCGGGATTATATGTCGTCTTGTTATTAGTGAACTTTGTCTTGATAAAACTACTAACAACGTTAGAAGTTGCCTGCCGCTGTCCACCCATGCGCACATCCAATGCACAATGATGATCAGTCCCAACCTCTCTTACCTTAAACGTGCTTGATTGACAAACACGGGACGCCTTTACAAACCATTTGCATTCATCAGACAAACACTTCACGTAATATTGTTTTGTGCACGATTTCACGACTTTAAATTGATATTGATTCCTTATAGCGTGCATCGTCAATATTCTCTGCAGCATAGGTTTATCTTTGAATAACATACCAACGACGATATTCGATTCCACATTTTCCTCATCTGAGACAATCACTTCGCTGTCCGAGTATATGTTCTGGGTATGTTCGGTATGTGTTATCGTTTCAACCATCTCCTGAGCCACTGAATGAGCGAAATCCATGAAATTCAATGGGACATCTCTCGTATATCTATAGTTCTCCAGTTCCGTATGCCTCAAAGGAGCTACATTTGTTTTGTAACTCACATCACAGACACTCGGAGAGTCCATGAACGAGTTACGCCCATTCATCTGAGACTTCACGACCACGCAAACCGGAAATTTCGTGTAATCTGGTTCATCCGACTTCAAATCGATATAGAACGCAAGGCTGCTGTCATCATCTACACACATTGGTGGATAACCACCCTTCAGGCTATATTTCAATTCAAGCGTAGATGATTCTGACAATATCCTGAGTTTGTCCCTCAATGCATCACAAAGCTCTCTGTAACTGCAATTTTTCCGAACTAGAACACCGGAAGGTTGAAAGTTCACATATTAATTATTAACCCATTCACCACCGTAATTGAAGAAGATCTTAATCGATGTATCCATCTGTCATTTACATACAGCAGGAATAACAATAAAAAACATATTCAGAATTAAGTCGCAAAAATATACAAAGAATATACAGTGTCTTTTGTTCGAAGAGAATATACAGCATGTTCGAAGCGAAGAGAATATACAGCATGTGCGTTTCACCCAAAAAAACGCAAAAATATACATACAATATACGTATTAACTACAAACAATATACATGTTTTAAAAAAAAAAGTAAAGAGTATCATACCTGATTTGATGTCGCGATTCTGATCGTGTATATCAGGTATATGTTAGGTTGATGCTTACAGCATGCTCGAAGAGTTATGTTGTTTATCGTGTATGAGTTATGTTGTTATCGTGTATGAGCTATATTTTAGGAGAGATAGTACGTTTCAAATTCAAAATATGTTTTATATCCACTTACCTATTTTTTCTCAAATGACTTGTGTGAGAGATTCGTTGCTTGAGAGAGAGGGCGTGATTTTAGGTAACTGACTCCCTTTATCAGCGGCATTCAGCCTAAAATAATGAAACGTACCACAATTAAGTATTACTGCTAATAAGTTTGTCTACATCGTAAAATTGCAATATCTTATGTATCTTGTGGTAAGAGCAAAATTCCCCCTATATAAAAAGATACAATGTGTACAAGTGCTAGGCAAAACTATCAAAATATCGATGTGATTTCACTTTCTTTCCGTAATCGTGAACACTATTGTGTTTATGGACTTATTACATCATTAATTCATTCTTTTATTTAGTTAATTATTAATGTTAAATGAAAAACATTCGTGAATTCGCTTGTGTCGTATCTGTTTGTGCACACAAAAATACAACTTATAAATAATAGAGAACATTATGTCGTTCACCTGCAAATACTTTTTTATTTACACATTGACAAACAATTTTTTTCCACACGTAAATATACTAACTTTCACTATTTATAAATGATTGATTTCTAGTTTATTTTTGTCAATTGCTTTTTAGTTGTTATCTCATTTATTAATAATTTATTTTATTTCGAATGATGCATTTTTTAAAAGTTAAAAAAAAACAAAAAGATTATCTACCGACAGGCAAGAAACAAATTACAGCCCAATACTTTGAACTACAATGAAAGTGATTATTTCCTCGCTTTGGCTAATGGGGAGGACCTAAAGCTTGATGTATACATGCACTCTTTTGAGGAATCTTTTGGACCCTCACACATTGGTTAAGTGCTCAAACCTCATATTTTTGTGGGTGAGTTTTTAATTATAAATTGCCAAAAGTTTATGTTTTTAAGATTAATTAATTTGATTCATTGATTGCCTCCATCACTATCTTTAGGGATAAAAAAGGCGTGACATTTGAACATAGTTATCTTCAAATCTTTACCTTTTAATGCTACTCTTTATGAAGAGGATGCATTTGTTTTAACCTAGTTACTTGGGAAGGATTTGGAATTATGTGCTAGTTTATAAGAAGTAAAGAAATTTAGGGGTGTTTTAATTAATTTAAGATTCTAAAAGACTTTTTAGGATTTTACTAAGAATAGGATTTTATGAGATTTTATCAGTTTTTATGGATTCTGTAGAATTTATTAGAAATCCCCAGAAGTGACATGTGGTATTATTAAGGACTTCTACAAATTTCTTAAGACTTTTCAAGAATTTTGTAGACTTTTATTATTGATTGACTAAACATCAACATTAATATATAAATATACCATTGTGAAAACTTGTGACAATATATATCCTTGCATCTCCATACAATTCTCTCTTTGAGAGCGACGATATTCTCTCTTTGAGAGCGATTAGCAGTATTCATCTTCTTCATCATCACCGAAATCATTCCGCACCTTATTGATAATCTATTCCATTCTGATAAAAACCCCACATTTCTATCCTCTGATTTTACTTCCTATTGTTACATTTAAATAACTTTAACCCTAATATGGGTACCCCGAAATGCGTTGGGCAAGACGAAGAACTGGCCCAGAAACTCCAAGGTTTCTCTCTATCTAAGCGTGAACACAACTTCATTGATATTGCTCAAGACAATATCACACTCAGCGCAGATGAATGCAACCGTAGCCTCTTTGGTAAGATTATCGGTGACCGACGATCGAGCTGGATTGGGATAAATCGAACAATGAGCTACATCTGGAGATTGCAAGGAACAATGGAAGTTAAGGAACTCGGCTCAAACTACTTCTAATTTATATTTCAGAGCATGGGACGATCTCCAAAGAGTGGCAAAAGGAATCAACTGGATTTTTGATAATTAATATCTAGTACTGGCAGAATGGCAAGAAGGTTTGTCAATCACCCACCCAATTTTCTCAGATCTTAAACTTTGGGTCCAGGTACTCAATCTTCCCCTAAACTGGTTGAGTACTGAGGTTGGTTTAAAAATAGGCACAGTTTTTAAAAATGTTGATAATGTTGTGGTGGTGGGTGCGGCTAGTCATGGGGGGAAATTGATGCGTTTGCTGGTCTCTATTGATATTAATGAAGCTCTTCCCCGTTGTGCAAATATCAGACTCAATAACCAGACAATCAATGTAGTTTTCAAATATGAAAAACTTGTAAACCTTTTGTCACTATTGTGGGAACATTGCCATTTAGACAGAGGCTGCTCCAAAAGAATGGAAGACATTAAATCAAACGCAGTTAAAGAAGGACAATTCGGAGATTGGATGCGCGCCCCTGAAGCCCAAAGCTGGGCAAACCTAAACTCAGCGGGCTCTAGAAGTCCTACTCACAATGATATACCATCTCCACACCCCTTAACAACCCCTTTGCACACTTTAAATAGTGAGGTTGAAGAGAGCAACCAAATCATCCCAGTGCAAGTAGAATCTTCTCAGAATCCTACTCCCACAAGCAAAGAAACTGTGCACCCCTCAACACACTCACCTGAAAAACCCTCTCAATCCTCCAAACAACAATCACCCCTTATGATGATTGAAAGACCTGACCTTTCTGCTATTCAAGCCATGGACCTGGAAACTTATCAGATCCCATCACCTCTTAGCGTGGTAACTAACACAAGATCCCAGAAACTCAAACTCAAATCTTGGAAAAGATCAACCAGCAAAGTGGGCAGATTACTAAGACAAGAGGAAAGTAGTTCACAAATAATCAAGGATACAAAGGCTAAAAGGAATCTAGCAGACTATTCGGATCCCATATCAGCAGAACATGATCAGTCTCAAAAACAGGAAGAAAGCAAAAAACTCAAAACTTCAAATGAAAAGGTGGAGGTTGCCAGCCTCGAATGGCACCCGAGTGCTCAATGCTAGTTGCGGTGTGGAACTGTAGAGGGCTGGATGGGCCCTCTACGGTTTCCCAAATCAGAGAGTCTTATAGGACTCACCATCAAAATTTTATTTTTTTATCTGAAACAAAAAAAAAAATTAAATCTGTTTGCAAAAAACTGGGATTTGAGGATCGATTTTCTATTGTTGATCCTATTGGTCAAAGTGGTGGTCTTTTACTTCTCTGGAACACTGAAGTCCAAATTTTGCAAATTCAAAACAAAGAATTCTATATTGCAGTGGAGTTTATTCTGAAATCAAGCCTCTCAAACTGGGGTGTTTTCATTTACCTGAACACTGACAGATCCACAAGAGAAGGCCAATGGACTGAACTTGAAGAAGATAAACTCACATGGGGGGATAGATGGTTCCTCATAGGTGATTGGAATGACATCTGTTTCAAGGAAGACAAAAGGGGGGGTGGGGGGTGCAAGATTAGAGCTAGTAGCAGCATGCAAGGCTTCAATGACTTCATATTTCAAATGGACATGGAAGAGATTCCTATGAAGGGCTACCCATACACTTGGGCCAACAACAGAGACAGTGAGGGATATGTTGAAGAGAAATTAGACAGAGCTTTTACCTCCTCTGACTGGATTGAGCAAAATCAGAATGCCTCAGTCCTTAATGTGATCCAAGGTGCCTCTAACCACTCTATGCTACTCCTCCACTCTGGTCAAGTAAACCCACATGTGAAAAAAAGGTTCTCTTCTGATAAAAGGTGGCTGGCTATGGAAGGCTTCAAGGATGTGGTTCAGAAAGCATGGTCTACTCCCTCAATTTGGCACCCCTTTGTTTAGGCTCAAAGAGAAAATAAAAAGTACAAAGATTGCCTTATTCCAATGGAGCTCACAATTCAGAATCCAGAGACTAAAAAAAATCCAACAATTAACATCTCATCTGGAGAACCTAAGAGCAGCTGGAAGGGAGAAAGAATGGGATGACTGGGAACAAACCAGAAGAGCTCTCAACTCTGAACAGTAATGAAGAACAATACTGAAAACAGAAAGAAAGCCAACAACGGATGAAGTGTGGAGATGGAAATTCAAAATTTTTCCATGCCTATGTCAGACAAAGGAGAAAGCTTAACTCTATTTCCAGACTTGTGGACAGAAACAATGTCGAATACCAATCACAAGCAGAAATTGAAGCCCACATCACTGAATTTTACAGCTCCTTATTTACCTCAAAAGGTTCAAGTGGAGGAGAGAATCTACTGACACTAATTCCCTTTTCCATCACTGTTGCCATGTACAAGGACCTGCTCAAAGTTGTGGAGGAAGAGGAAATTCACACAGCCTTGTTCAGCCTTGCCCCTGACAAGGCCCCTGGTGAGGAAGGCATGAGCCCCATTTTCTATCAACACTGTTGGTCTCTCATTAAAATGGACCTAATTGATGCCTTCAAAAGCTTCTTCTCTTCTGGTATGTTGCTCAAATACTGGAATCAAACCATCATCACTTTGATCCTTGAATGCAATAACCCAGATAACATTAGCCAATACAGACCTATCAGTTTATGTAGTGTGGTCTACAAAATCATTTCCAAAGTTTTGGCTCTGAGACTTCAATCTTGCCTGGAACCATACATTAGTTCTTCTCAATCTGTTTTCCTCAAAAACAGACAACTGTTGGATAATGTGGTCGTTGCACAAGAAGTTTTCCACTTCCTTAACAGACACAGAACAGGTTCTAAATTCTTTATGGCTCTGAAATTGGACTTAATGAAAGCATTCGATAGGGTGGAATGGACAAGCCTCAAAGGGATCATGTTACAAATGGGTTTTCATTTATCCTTTGTGAATCTGATTCTGGTATGCCTATCTTCTACTTCTCTAGCTTTTAAAGTTAATGGGCATATCACTATGTCTATTTACCCCTCAAGGGGATTAGATAAGGTGATCCCCTGTGACCATACATTTTTCTCATCATTGCTGAACTCCTGTCTGCTATGCTCACTAAAGCAATCACTGATGGCCAACTGTTTAGTTTAAGGATCTCTAGAGATGGTCCAGTGCTTTCACATCTTCTATTTGTAGATGATGTACTGCTATTCTGCAAAACTAGGGTTGATCAAGTTTAGCAGCTACTGACCCTCCTGGAAAAATTCAGACTTTACACAGGACAACAAGTGAATTTTGCCAAATCTTCGGTTTTCTTCAGCAAAAACACCGCACCCTCCCTGACAGACAGTATATGCACCCATCTCCATGATATCAACATTTATTAATCAACAGGATACCTTGGACTTCCTCTTGGTATAGGCAAATCAAAGAAGGAAGCCTTTGCTTTTGTAATCCAATCAGTGAAATCCAAACTCAATAGCTGGAAGAACAAGCTGCTTTCTCCTGCTGGCAGAGAGGTGCTAATTAAGGCAGTCCTCAATGCCATACCAGTCTTCACCATGGCCTGCTTCAAACTCCCTGGCATGGTTCTCAAGGAAATATCAAGGTTGTGTGCTTCATTTTGGTAGAGCAAAGGTGACAGTCAGGACAAAGGACTTCACTGGAAGTCTTGGGACAAAATGACCATTCCTAAAACAGATGGAGGGCTGGGGTTTCAGGATGTTAAACTTTTTAATGAAGCCCTCCTCTGTAAACAGATTTGGAGAATCACTACACAACCACAACTTTTGGTCAGTCAGGTTCTCAAAAGCAGGTATTATCCCAACTCCACTATCTTTGATGCTGTTAAAACTCAGAATAGTTCATGGCTTTGGAATAGTTGGTTGGAACTTCTCCCTATTTTCTCTAAGGGTTACAGAATTCAGATTAGAAATGGTGAGACTATTAGAATATCTGATACCAATTGGATCTCCTCTATGCGAAGTGTCAAACCAACATTGATGGAACTAGCCAGAAGGCACCTGATCTGGGTTAAAGATTATTCAACAGTAATGGTAGGAGCTGGAATAACTAGTTAGTCTCCCAGGTTTTTAATGCAGAAAAAAGCCAAGCAATACTCTAAATCAATACCGTGAATCCAAACAAAGATGACTTGATGTACTGGAGGTTTGATATAAAAGGGAAGCACTCTGTCTCTTCTTCATACTCTTACCTCATGGATCAGAAAGTGTGTGCTATGGACATTCCTCAAAGTAGCTCTGCACAGGCAGTCAGTTTAATGGCCAGAAATAGAACTTGGAATTTGAAGGTGCACAACAAACTCAAACATTTCCTCTGGAAATGTTACTCTGATACCCTTCCTGCCAAAGAAAATCTGCTGAAAAAAGGGCTTCAACTGGATCCTATTTGCCAAAGTTGTGGTGAATAAACTGAGATGGTTAACCATATTCTCTTCCATTGTGCCAAAGCTAAATCAGTGTGGAACATCAGTCCAGTGCTATGGGATGGAATTGCTACAGATAACTTGAATTGCAAACATTGGTGGTGGAAAATTTGTTCCATTCCTCGATCTGAAGTTGCAGAGGCTCGCATCCAACTCACCACATACATACTTTGGTGGCTATGGAAGTCGAGAAATTTGTGGATTTTTCAAGGCAAGCACCTACCTGCAAGCGTGTCTGTTTTGGCGGCACACAAGGACTGGCTAGAGTTCCTGGCAGCAACTCTTTGACTACTGTTTTAGTTCTTTATTTTTTTTTCAGTAGTTTGATTTTTTCGGTTTTTTCTTCAGCTTTGTTGTTTGTTTTATCTCCTCCCCTATCTGACTTTGGTTTGGTCAACTATAGTAGGCATTTGTAGTGGTGTAGGCTGGCTATCCTGTTTTTTAGTTTGCTAGTTGTGTTCTTATCCCGTCTGTGGGATTTCTAGGCAGCTTTATAGCGAGTCCTCCCTGTTTTATTTTTTCGGCTTTTGGTCACGATTGTATTGGAACAATATTGTTATCCTTTGGAGTTATGATATAAAATCCCTATCGTTTCGACAAAAAAAAAAAGAACTTGTGACAATATTTATACATGAAAGACAATAAAAATTATTTTTGAAAAGGAGAAATGTGAATTTTCTATCTTATTGTTTGTTTATTTATCGTTTTTTACAAAAATAGTCCAATTTGTTATAATTTTTTATTCTATTCAATAACCCACATAATCTCAAAGACATACAATAACTATATTTTTTTTATCTCACTTATAATTTTTTATTCTATCAAATCAACCACATAATCTCATGAAATAAACAACAATAATAACAATTATGTTTGAAACAAATATTTGGCGACATCATGATCGTTCTATAAAATTGTGTGAAAAATTAAAATATTGAAAAATATAAAGTAAAAAAATCCAAATCTGATGAACACAAAAGTTGTGTCCCATACAATTTCATAAAAAATAAAATAATAAGCAAGTCTAATTTCTACTTTATAGCATCGTTCCACATTTCATTTTCTATTGCATCCCTCCATGCATTAGCGGTCGCTCTTTGTTGTTCTTGACTTTCAGAAAATGGACCAAAATTATCTCCTTCGGCTATTGGACAAGATTGACATGTTTCTTGTTCAGGTTCTGCTGGAAATTGATTAGAGCAATATTCTTTTCGTAAAAAGTTATGTAACTCTGCACATGCTAATACCAACTCCACTTGCGTATGAAACGGAAATGGAGGTGCCGATTTGAAAATCACAAACCTTGATTTGAATATACCAAATATCCTCTCAACTACATTCCTTAATGAAGAATACCTGAGATTAAACAGCTCATTGGCATCGCTTGGGTCACGACCTTGACCTGTAAAATCATTAAGATGGTAGCGAGTCCCTCGATATAGAGTAAGAAACTAGCGTCTATTTGGATATCCACAATCGGCCAATAAGTACTTTCTTGCAAATAAAATATATAATTAACTCATGCTTGTGACATTTAATAACAATGTATTAAAGAAATATGAAATGAAAGAGAAAATTATGGATTAATACCATCAGGAATTTTGAGTCCGTTTCTTCTTGTTAACGCATAATTTTTGAATCATGATCTGAATCCTCCCACCCACTGACCACATATATAAACTCCAGATCAAAGTTACAAGTAGCTAAAACATTTTGTGAAATTTGTCCATGCCGATTCCGATAACTGCTTGTATCATGTCCTATTACCATTGCTGGAATATGTGTGCCATCAATAGCCCCAATGCAGTCCTAAAATTTTTAAATTTTTCAACATTAGAAAACAATATAATGATATTATAAAACTAAAGTAAATAATGTTATTACTTACTTTAAAGTAGGGATAAAATCGTGTACTTTTTCTTATTTTCTGGGGAATTGTAGATCCTGACTTAGCCAACATATCTACGGAGTATTTGGTTAGTTCCTTCAACACCTTGTTGAAATTCTGGCTGGTGGTGAAATGTGATCGACCAAATACTTGTCGTACTTGACAGTATCGATTATTTTGCCCAAAAATAAGTAAGAATGTCGTAAGCATTTCCTCAATAGAAACAAACCTTGTGTCGATCAAGAGTTGTTTCTCTCTAATGATACAACATAATTTCAAGAATACATCGGGGTACATTCTATAGACCTCTCGAAATTCGTTAGAATCTTCCCCAAGTATTTTATCTATATAATCATAACCATCCACGGTTTTCGGCCTTCTGCTTAATGAGTAATTGACACGATCATGGCACATATTAACCATAAGCACATTTGCCATGTAAAAATCTGCTTGAATGGGCAAACATGAATACCAAATGTATTTATATAAATCTTCTCTCCTGTCATCTTCTTCAATTTCATCTATGTCCATTAGATCATTTTCGCGCATATCAGTATCAGACATTATGTGACCTGTGATAATTAATGAGATGAATTAATAAAATTTAAATAATACATAAATTAAAGATAAATAATTCCAATATCAAACAAGCCAGAAAATTCATATAGTTCATAGTACTCCAATAACATAAAATCCATGAAAATAAAAACCAAAGTCCACCATACTCAAAACAATGAACATAGACCTAGAAGTTCATAATAATCTTATTATATATAAATCATTTGAACTTATATGCTATCCACATAGCTTGTTCATCCGGGGACATGTTAGAAAACTCTGACTCTTTTGCTTTGGTATTAAGCAAATCAAGAGCTTTGAAACGATCCTCAGAAGTTAAGCCTAGAATCTCCTTAATCAGATCCCAACAGTTGTACTCTTTTGTGTCAATTGACTCAATAGCACGAGTAAACTTTTCCACATTTGATGTAAGTTTTTCTACGAGGTCTTGGGTATCTTTAGGATCAAATGAGGTAGCCTTAGTTTGAGAATCAGTTTTAGCTCGTTTTCTTGAGGTGGACGAGGCTCCGAACATGGTTGTTGAGTTGAGGTTGGCATGAAAGAGTTCTCAGGAGATGGTGGATGAAAAGGATCTTGGTACTTGACAGAATAAAGGCATCACTTGAGGGATCATATGTGAAATCATCTAGCAAGCTCCCACTTTCTCTATTTTCTTCTATAGTATCGTCTCCTATGGCAATAGAGTGTGTCCCTCTAGCTGTACTGTTACCAACTGCAATTCCCAGATCTTCATAGTCTGGATGAGGGTCTGTCTGTAAGCTTGAATCTTTAGGATGAGACTGGTAAAACAAAGAAAAAATAATAACTGTAACTTATACCGAACTTCTTATTTCAATTGTTAAGGTATGATTTAAATATATAAAGGGGGGAGGGGTGGGGGGAGGGCTAACCTTAAAGTAATTTTTCCAGATTTCATCATGTGCAGTGAAGAACTTTGTTGCGGAATCCAAAGCCAGAGTTATGCCGCATAAGCTTATGGTACTTGGCATATTGTTTCTTAAAAAATATTTCACTCGACTTATGTATTGACTGTAAGTCCAGGCGATCTCTAACTTTTCATTCAAATGTTTTAGTATATGTCTTTTGATGGTTATCTTATTTATTTTCCCAGCGCGGTCATGCCAACCACAGTTAGAAACATCAACCATAAGTTTACGAAGTTCATTGCTCTCTTCAACAGTCCAACTTTGATATCCGGAACCTTGATCATTTTCTTTCATTGGATCTCCCATCGCCTAATATAGACTTTTTAATCAAAAAAAAAATGAAAAAAAAACAAAAAATAAAAAATAAAAATTACAAACAAAAAACTTTATGGTGACACCAACTTCAATTACGGCTGAGTATTTCTGTAGCACTATAATGCATAAATAAAGTATTTGATTCTAACTGGTCATGGTGCAGGATTTTCTTGATTCTCCAGCTCATAAGTGATTTAGTTTATCAAATGGTGGAATAACTACATGTCTGATGACAAAAAATCAAGGTCCAGGGATGCATTTTTTTCAACTATATATAATGAGCAAAGAAATTGGAGGTTCCTTAAGTTCCATTCAGTTCCATCTATAATATTTAAAAATCCTTGGAATTCAAAAAATTGTTAATGTTAGGTGATGTCTTGTTCGAACAAAATGTGTTGTTGAACAATTAGTTGATCACATGCCTAATATCACTAACAATTAGCTAATCACATGCAGACATCTCTATATCACATTCAATTGAGTTTCTATAGAAGTTAATGATATATAATAAACTGGAGGTTAAACAAATATCCAATATCCAATTAGCTCATATTCCACACCATGGTATATATACAAACAGAAACGGCTGTCACAGGCAAGCATATCTGTAGACATCGAAATTTTAATATTTTATTAATTAATATCTTTATTTATTTTGGGACTTAAATCCAAGATAAATAAGATATTTAATTAATAATGTAAATATTTCTTGTCCACCAAGTCAAATCTTAGGATGAGGAAAGAGATTATATCAAATCTTAAGTTTAGGAAAGAGATTATATCAAATCATGAAGGACCAATCAAAGATGTCTTCTTCTCCAAGACTCTCTCTCCTACACCTATAAATAGGGCTCTTCTCAATGCTACAAATCACACCTCAAAATTAAACACACCTCATACATCAAAATCTCAAGTTCAAGAGCTCTCAATAATTCTCTTGAAGATCCAAAGGTGTTCTTGAAGATCCAAGGTCATTTAAGTTGAAGATCGGCGTTCAACCCGCAACCAAGTCCATTCAATGAAGAAGAAGGCCAAGAAGAAGAAAACGAGGCGGCGGCTCTTCCCCAAGAAGTAAAGAGAAGACTTCCACTCCTCTCATCAATCCAAGAATATCAACGGCGTTCAAACGGCATTCAAGCCGCGTTCATCGAAAAGTTCAACCAACATAGAATCTGATCCGAGAAAAAGCTTTCAAACCCTCGAGTCAACGTTAGTCAAGTCAAAACTCGCTTTTCAAGAAGATCAAATAAATAAGTCCTCCAAGAAGTCTTCTTCAATCAAGTCAAGTCCAAACATTTAATATGGGAACAAGTCACTCGACCCCCAAATTAATGTTAGGAAAATTCAAAATCAAGCCCAAAGAAGATCCAAGTCCAAATCCATATTCGAAGATCCAATCCAAATTCAAGAAGAGAAGAATCAGAGGAGATAATAGAGATTGTATCCGCAATATCGTTTGATCGAAATAAAATCAAGTTGTACAAAAGTTTTATGTTTTTCATAAAATTTATTGTTACAATATCAATTGTTTAACATAATCATGAAACAAAAAGTAATTGACATGAAACAAAATCAACCTAATCATGAAATTATACACATACAACATGAAATAGAATCAGAATTGTCATACAGAAACACAATTGTTATACATGCTAATCACATGAATAGATGTTGGTACCTTTTAGAACAATTCAAGAGCAAAGTATGAGAAGAGTCGTCCTCCTCGTCCCTTCGTAAAACCTTTTATCGCAAAATCTCAAAATCTCTCATATACTGGTGGGATTTGTAACGGGATTTGGTATATATACTTTCCTATTGAAATCTCTCCAAATCCAAATAAATGACAAATCTACAAAAGTCGTAAAGGAAATAAATATCTCTTGATTTTATGGGACTTTAAAAAGTCTAGATTGAATACCTTTAGATTTTAAGAGACTTTTAAAAAGTCATTGAAAATTCTAATTGAATACCTCTAGATTTTTTAAAATCCTAAAAAGTCTCATTTAAATACACCCAGATTTCATAAATCCTAAATAGTCTTTAAAAGTCTTTAAAGGAATACACCCCCTTAATTAGATTATAGATTATGATACGAAAATGATTTGGAATAGTAATGTACTACCCATGTAATACAAAATATTGACTTAGAATAGTATTGTACTACCCATGTAATACATGAATACTTATTTAAAAAATATATGCATAAAAATATTTTTAAACAACAGACGTAAGTTCAAATTTTCAAATTCAAGATTTCAGGGAATGGTAATTCGGTTTTCGACCTCATTCGAAGGTCATTTGATTTTCGACCTCAGTGGTAGGTCTATCGGTGTTCGACCTCATCGAGTGGTCATTCGGTTTTCGACCTGAAGGTAGCGTCGGGTTATTTGGTTTTCGCCCTCAACGGTATGTCATGTAGTTTTTGAACTTAGTGGAAGATCATGTCTTTTAAGTGCTCATTTGGAGGTTATTTGGGGGTCACTCAGGATATATGGTGTTCATTTAGTGGTCATCAGATTCATTTGATGGTTATTCAGATTATTCGGTCGTCATGCAGGTCATTCGGTTTTCATTGGGGGACTATTTGGTGGTCTTTATTCAAATTATAACCTCAGTGGCAAGTTGACGGAAACAGCCAGAGGACGCATTTCACTCTTGGATCGAGTTATGCTCACTCGACCAGAGTGGGGGGAACTAGATGATATATGATATTATACTAGACCGATTTTAATGGATAAGAAGGAACATATTAGAGAATAAGCCTACACGTGGGTTATGACACATGGCATAACGATATTGGCTAAGCCCAACTTGGGCAATAAGGTACACTTCCCCTATAAAAGGTGGCTTAGGTATCTCAAAACCTCATTCTCCCCACATTCATTGCTATACTCTCATATTGCACTCCTTACTTCTGGCGAGTGCTGACTTAGGCATCAGAGTCCCGACGCCGGGACCCCTCCCGGCGTTGGGTTCTTGCAGGTACGGAGGCCACCCGAGTTGAAGGAGCTCAGGTGAAATTCATTTCAGAATCAATAAGTATGTTAATGCAGCATGCGAGCACACTAAATAGTACACATTCCTAATGATTTTCTCAAGGACAGAAAACGTTTTGAATCAAGTGCTTTTGTAAGAATATCAGCAAGTTGATCTTTAGTAGGTACATGATCTAGCACAATTGTTCCATCATCCACCAAATTTCGAATAAAATGATATCGTATGTCAATATGTTTGGTTCGTGAATGTTGGACAAGATTTTTCGACATGTTGATAGCACTCGTGTTATCACAAAAAAATTGAGCAGAATGTACCTTCATACCATACTCCAAAAGAATTTGCTTCATACAAACAAGTTACGAGCAACAACGCCCCGCGACAATGTACTCGGCTTCTACGGTCGAAAGCGAGATGCAATTTTTCTTCTTGCAAAACCATGACACAAGATTGGACACTATGTAAAAGCATCCACCGGAGGTACTTTTTCTATCATCAAGGTTCCCAGCCCAATCAGCGTCGCAATAACCTGCAAGGCTCAAGTTTGTGTCAGCAGAATAGAATATCACATAATCCCATGTACCTCCTACACACTTAATGATGTGCTTAACAGCCTTCGAATGGGATTCCTTGGGATCAGACTGATATCTAGCACAAAGACGAACACTAAAACAAATGTTAGGTCTACTAGCAGTGAGATAAAGAAGACTTTCAATCATACTCTGGTAAAGAGTTTGATCAACAGATGTACCTTCATCGTCCTTAGACACTTTGACATGAGTGCCCATAGGAGTCTGAGAGTTTTTAGCATTTTCATGACCAAACTTTTTAACAAGGTTTTTCGCACATTTACTTTGATGCAAAAAGATACCATATTTACCTTGTTTTACCTGAAGTCCAAAAAAATATGAAAGTTCACCCAGGGTAAAAATTCTCACACATATCTTCTCTTGTCAGATTTTATTTGTGGCGTTTTTTCACTTAGTGCAATTTGCTAAATTTTTTTGCCTTTCCTTGTTCTTTTTGTTTTCAATGGCAAGAACTAATAGAGGGACCATGATTCTATCTAGTCAAGCAACTTATCGCCTATATTCCCATTCTATGTTAATTTTATCTGGATTCCGTATGCTGAAGATTGATGTTGTTCGTCTCATGATGTTTCTTACCCGGCAGGAGACAGCGTTAGATTCTTCAGTCTTCTCTGATTATGTATTTTTGTTTTTTTTTTTTTTTTTGTTATGTATGTAAATTTGGTCCCTGAATATGTATGTTGATTGATATTCTGTGGGTTGGTTTATGGGCTTGTGTTCCTCATTGTGATTTAAGATTAAATTATTTGTAGCGCCACAATTTTTGTATTAAGATCATGATTCATATTGCATTCATTATGAGTTCGATTATTGTTCTAAGTCTTGAATTTTAATTCTTAAAATTTATTTAATCTTTATTATGTTCTTATAATTAATCAAAAATTTAAAATAGATGTCCTCATCTATTTTTCCTATGCTAACTAAATCCTAAATTTCCTAACTCTAAGTTATACCTAATAATTTCAAATGTGTCTACTCTAAGTTATACCTAATAATTTCAAATGTGTCTAAGATAAATCCTAATGTCCTAATATACGTAAGTCATAAATTAACCTATGTGAGCAAATTATATCAATTATAGTCCATTTTCTAGGGTTTGAGTCTCTCTTAGAGTTCTTAGTTCCTCCTTTGGGATTGGGTTTTTTCGATCGATTCCTTCTGATTTCCATCTCTCTGTATTAGGATTAAGATATTCCTGTGTCTAGAGTCGTCCTATTACAGCGTATCGCTCTCTTTACCTATTTTTTCACGCCTTCTTGGGTGCGGTCTTTTCGTTAGGTTTTAAACATTTCTTTTGAGCCCTTCAGGTGCGTGTAGGATCTTAGGGGTTGGAAGGAGAGGGTGTCATGGAAGACGAATTGGTTGCACAATTACAGCGCTTTGCGCTGTCGGAAAAAGAAGAAATGG